TTTTCTCTACTTTCAGTTATTAACCTATTTAATCCTTCTGTTTATTTCAATTCTAACAAGTTGATGCAATGTGAGATGCTCCTTAATTTTCTATTTGGGCAACTTGCTTTCCTTATTTATTTATTTTGAAAATTTAACTAGTTCCTCAAAATTTATAAAAATAAACAGACTGATCCATTTTCAAAGTCCATATATATATATATATATATATATATATATATATATATATATATATATGCACTTTTAGTCTCCTTTTTTTCTTACTTACGAAAATAATACATTAACCTTCAAAAATATTGCATTATGGTACATTTGATTTAACTTATAAATAAGTATATTGCATTATGCATTTCACAGACAAATATATTATTTTATTGTGTTAGGCATATATAAATTAAGTTAAAGCATCTATATGGTGGAAATGAACAGCAAGAATGTGCCACAAAGTGGAGAGGTAAGTGGATCAATTTACTAAATGGAACAAACATGATTGAATTCCATAAACAATTATAATATTTCTGGGGGTATTAGTATAAAGATTTGTATATAGTTAATACATAATATTTCATTTGTATTATTTTCTTTCCAAAATGGTAAAATCAAAATACTTATAAGTTTAAACGTTTCATATGAGAATGACATAATAGAATATAATATTTATATACTGTCAGTTTAAAAATTTATATATTGTTATGTATAATTCACCCCTTTATTTAGATTACAATTTTAAAGAGTCAAAAATAATTGAAAATAAATAATGAATTATGTATTAATAGTACAAAAAAACCTTGAACGGTCAAAACATTTTTTCTCTAACAATATATATATATATATGTGAAAAATGCTATTTTAAAGGGTACAGAAAAACTACAGACAGAAAATTCTTTGGTAATCTAACTTTTGTCTACTATTTGTTACTCTATGTGCATTTTAAAAAAAATTAAATTTTAAATTTTTTAACTTAAATATATTTTTTCAACTAATCGCATAAAATGATAGATGATGAGACAATAATCAGATTATAGTTACAAATAAATATTATAAGAGTTGTTTTAATCAAATTAGACATATAATTAAACGGTTTAAAATAGGAAAATATTCAAAATAAGTTATATATGTATTGGGTATTGTACGAGATAAATTCAGTTTGTGTATGAAAATTTGTATATTTGTCAATGTAAAAAGTTAAAGATTTGAATCCGCATATATTTGTAATATGATCATTGAATATTTCAGTAATTTCGTTATATATTTCAAATAATAATATTATATTTATTATAATATATAAATCAGTCCCTTGGTATTTCATATCCCCTTTCCTCCTGTGTTTTGTAAATAATAGTCACCAAAATAAAGTTTTCTGTTAAAAAAATAAGCAAGGATATATCCACTATTACAATAAAAACAAATTTCATAATAATATATTTTTATATCATCTTATTATATATTTTTATAGTGTATTATCTATGTATTGTTAGTATAAACTATAAATATTTATACACAACTTGTGCATCATTTACCATTCATTTATATTACTAATATTTAAAATTTAATGATCATTTAAATGTGACAGTATAAAAATGCTTAAATTATCGATGTATACATTTTTTCTATATTTTATACCATTTTTATATATATATATAAGCAATCATATATACATTTATGATTAATATCTAAAGCAAGCTTTTGGAAAAAGAAAGGAGATAAGTTCAATATCCAGTTTTTTTCCTTTGATGAAAGTGGAATATATCCTCTTTAAGTGTCAATTCTAAATGTACAAACAACATTCTAGTATAAACATACTGTCCAAATATATTAAATTTTGCTGTATTTTAAATTAACTTAACAATAAATACACATTTTCTCCTGAAAATCAAACTTTAGGCTAAAACTTTTTTCCTTTTCTTTATACCCATCGCATATAAATCATTACACCATGTGAAGTCTATCCCAAATCATATTGTGTTGTTACTTTTCGTTAGTTGCATTGTCTCTTGCTCTATGTATCTTTTGTACCTTCTCTAGCTTCAACACTCCTTTTTGTACATTCATTTCTTTTACACTCAATTATTTTCCCTTCATGGGTTTGGGATTCAAAGAATTCATAATCCGAAGCTATGAAGGCCAATCTGATAGATCTCAAGTGGAAGATCTTGAGAGAAGATGTGAGGTAGGACCAGCTGAAAGTGTGTTCCTCTTCACAGACACTATGGGTGACCCCATTTGTAGGATCCGAAATAGTCCTATGTTCATGATGCTGGTATATTATACTATACCATAATGTTTTTTTTTGTTGCTATTATTTTCTTTCCATGAATTCTCAATCTTATTTTATTATCTTTGATCATCATGTTCATAACTAATTGTTTTTCCAATTTAATTTGATGTTAGGTGGCAGAATTGGGTAATGAATTGGTTGGTGTAATTCAAGGCTCTATAAAAGTGGTCACTATTCATAGTTGTCCTCCAATGGGTTTGGCAAAGGTGGGGTATGTCCTTGGCCTAAGGGTTGTTCCTCATCATAGGAGAAAAGGGATTGGGTCAAGCTTAGTGCAAAGGCTAGAAGAATGGTTCATTTCCAATGATGTGGATTATGCATATATGGCCACAGAGAAAGATAACCATGCCTCGGTTAGTCTCTTCATGGACAAATTTGGCTACACCAAGTTCCGAACACCGGCGATACTCGTAAACCCGGTGAACCATCATTGCTTTCAAATCTCATCCAACATTGAGATAGCAAGGTTGAAGATTGAACAAGCTGAATCCCTCTATAGAAGATTCATGAGCTCCACTGAGTTTTTTCCTAATGACATAGACAATATACTTAGGAATAAGCTAAGTTTGGGGACATGGGTGGCATATTTCAAAGGAGATAGTGATTTTGGGTCAAATGGACAAGTCCCAAGTAATTGGGCCATGCTTAGTGTATGGAATAGTGGGGAAATCTTCAAACTAAGGCTAGGGAAAGCACCTTTTTCTTGCTTGCTATACACAAAGAGTTGGGGCTTTATTGATAAGATTTTCCCATGCTTCAAATTGCCTACTTTACCTGATTTCTTCAACCCATTTGGGTTCTATTTCATGTATGGTGTGTACCATGAAGGTCCATTCTCAGGGAAGCTTGTGAGGGCCTTGTGTCAATTTGTGCACAACATGGCTTCAAAGTCTAAGGATGAAAATTGCAAAATCATTGTGACTGAAGTTGGAGGAAGAAATGAGCTCAACAATCATATCCCACATTGGAAATTGCTCTCTTGCCCTGAAGACTTGTGGTGCATAAAGGCCTTGAAAAATGAAGGGACAAATACCCTCCATGAATTAACCAAAAACCCACCAAGAATAGCTCTCTTTGTAGACCCAAGAGAGGTCTAAGGAAATAAATACATATATGAAAAATTAATAATGGAAGACGGGGCAGGGACAAAAATATAGGCCTACCAAAATATCCTGACCTTAAATTTTTTCCTTCTTTTCCTTCCCTTGGATTTTGTCTATAATAAGTACCAAAACCCACCTCATGTATTATTTGTTAAATATGTCCATCCATTCATATCTCCTATGGTAGGGGTTTTCCTCTAGTTCCTTTCACATCCAAGACACAAAATCTAAAAAAGATATCCATAATTAGGTGCCACCCTTTGGTGTACTTGTTAGCAATCCATCTTATGGCTCATGACTATGACTTATCAATTAGCCCTTGTGGTCCAAACTTTGTCCCTTAACTTGAGCTGGACCCTCATCTTATTCACTTTGTCCTATGGCATTGAGATATGGTCTCACATAAAGTATGTCACCACTGAAGAAAAAAAGAGACTTATGAACCATTTCATGTGATTGTGGAAGTAGTCACATTATTTCATTCAAGTCAGAGTTAGAGAACTTAATAATTTGTTCCAAAATAAGGAAAAAGTCAATACAGTACTTGAAGTCTCAACTCATCAGCTGGTTGGTTTTTCCTTCATTTGTTCAGTATATTATTGTCCTTATTTAAATATATAATTCATGATTTGCCCAAGTTCATGGAAGTTTGAAAGAACAAAATAGACTTAGCTTGGGTTTTTACCATCAATGTAAATATATTAGAGTTAATAGAGAATGGGCATATGGTGGTTATGAATGCTTATAATCACTTCTATATGTGAGTACTAGTGCAATATCATTTATTCTTAAGTACTTTAATTATATATTATATATTTTGATAAATAATATATATATAAATGATTATTACATAAATAATAATATATAAATGTGGTAAATTTGTCACTAGTCTAATCAGTACAATTCATTATGTAATAATAAAATAGATTAGAATCTAAATTAATAAAAATTATAATAATATAAAATGTTCATTACAACTAAATTTACGAATATAAGAATATATGGGATGAGTATTTTGATACTAATCTATACCTATAAGTTATTATTGTAGGTCTCAATTATATATAATTTTACATATATCGTCCACGAATGTGAGCATTTTTATCATCGTGCATTTACTACTATTAAACAAAATATAGAATGTGCAAGAGGATCATATATGTTCCATCCCGATTTAAGCCATGTCATGGCTAGACTAAATCACCAAGCTTCAGCCGAATATCGGGCATAAACGAGCCCACTTTGGACGATCCATGATCTAGACCTGACTACAGGTCAATCGAGGCAAGGGACTGAGTGGACCAGAAATATCCCAAATGACAGTACAAGTGATCACAACCTTCTGACATCTAACTATCACGCCACTTACATATGACTCACACTCCCTCTATTTTCACTCTTTTTTGGAATTATTTTTCACTCAATGTTCTCCTTAGGTCCTTAGAGGAATCAAAACAACGCAAGAAATAACCAAAGGACAAGTGACGATAATCACCAAAAAAAAAACTTACCAAAATAAAGGGAATAAAGTAAGAGGGGTATATATATTTTACTTTTTTTTTAGTAGAGGATAAATATAGTTGAACACTTGTTGTTGAGCACAACAATGACCAAGAAATTTAAAGACTAAAAAGAAGTAGAAGGGAAAACAAAAATCACAACACAAGTTTCAACCAAAACCTACTTCTCGTAACCACTTGATGACAACCAATTCGGTTTGGGTTGTCTTTTGATTGAATTTTTGTAATGTTTTGTGGAAATGTTAGAAAAATAAGAATACATAAAAGATGTGAGATGATTAACGCCACAAATAAAGAATTGTTTGATAAGCCTAAATGATGTTCGTCACAAGAATTATGGGATTCTTGATAAAAATTTAATCTTGGTTCGACCAAGAATTTAGGAAAACAAGCTCACTAACAATGGTTAATTTCCAATAACTTTAAACTTGCATTTCTCATGGTGTTTCAAGTTTGCACAAAACATTAATAGCCTAAAGACACCATAAAACACTCAAGATTCCTATAGTATGAAGTTGAACACGTGAGGAATTGATGAAGGTGGGCTGCCCAAGTGCATAAGGGTCCCACTTATACCATTCTTCACTTATTGAATGAAAACTTAATGATTTGACTTGATTCACAATTTCACATCATCCTCCTTCTCTAAACACATGACTTTGAAGTGAACCTTCTATTTGGATGATACAATTTGTCGATTTGAATTCTTCATGAAACAATTTTGAGCTTGCTTTCATTAGAAATCCAAGTAAATAGTCGATTGCTTGTTATATCTTTTTGCTTTTATTCTAGTCAGTGGACCTACAAGACTTTATATGAGTTCCTGATCCACATTGAGCTTTATTTGGACTCATACTAAGAGATGTGGCAGTAAGATCATACATTGATTTAAAGAGTGTGAGGTGCATAAGATGCAGCAACTAAGGATCACTTATTTAACCACTTAAAAAATCTAGGCATAGGTTGAGGCTATTTAAAAGTTTGGTATAACATATAAATGTATTTAAAAGTCCATTTTATTATGTACTTTTAAATAAGATAACATTCTTGCTTTAAAATAGGTATATACAACATTAAGAAATAAGTTACATTTTTTATATTCAGGTTTTATATATAATAATTTAAGTGTAATATTTATATATTATTAGTGTAAAGATTTATATACATTAAATATATCATTCGTCGTTCATTTGTATTATTTTTTCTTAAGAGTTAATAATGATTAAATATGAATGGTAAAAAAACTCTAATATTGTGTACATATATATTTATCTCTAATCAATTTAGTTATAAAAATTCTATAATGTAATAAAGTAGGCTAACATATGGTTTTTTAAGAAGCCTCGTTTTCATATGACTTTGTCCGTTATAGATCAAAAAATATTCCAGAAACAAACATTGTATCCTAATTTTATAGATAATTCTACTTGTGATTGTGTTACCTTTACTTTTATCAAAATTACTTTGTGTAAAAGTGTAATGAATGCAATTGTAATTCTTAAGAGTGCAATATTTGTATACTCGGTAAGTATAAAGATTTATTACATCATTTACAATTTATTTATACTACTTTTTTTAAGAGTGAATGATGGTTAAACATGAATGAAAGATATAAAACTCATTAGATTGTTTTCTCCTCCATTTAGAGTTGCTTACCAAAATTGTATGATTGTGAGATCCATTCATATCAAATCATTATTCACATTTAAAAAGTTGGTACATGCATTGGGGTGCATTCCTCCCGTATAATAAGAATATGTTAACACAAATATTTAATTATTATTTTTTTATTGAAATAATTTCATCAACAAATCACAAATATCATAGATCGACAGTACCAATAAATCATTGGTCTAATAATATAAGACTTTGTTATTTTCTGAAAAATATCAAAAGGTCTAGAGTTCGATTCCTGAGAGTAATACTTGTTATGAGAGATAACCCAAAATGGATTGGTTCTTACCCATAGGGTAAGAATACCCTTGGTAGTACAAAAATATACCATAAAATGACATATTTTTTAGTATAATATATATATATATATATACTATCAGTATAAAAATTTATACACAAACAATACATCATTCATCATTCATTTGAATTAATTTTATTGAAGAATCATGATTAAATATGAATGATAGATGATATATTGAGAGAAGATGAACTTCCCATGCATTGCACTTGTCTTGAATACAGAAAGCTGAAAGTACTCCTATTGAATAAACCAATTGATGTGGAGACCACCTACCTTTGTATATAGGCAGCCTAAGATTTAGATTGATATCTGACCTGAAAAGAAGGTCTCTGAAGTTGAGCTAACATATTTTCAGTGGTTGAGGAATTGAAGACACACTGAACTTGAAGGTAGCTAGTAATCTCAGGACCACATAGATCAATAATTAGTACTACCATATATGGCAAACTAGTATCCAAGTTTGGATTTGAAAGTCATCATTCAATGGAAAATTGAGAATCCAAGAGGTTAGACAGGTCAAATGGATTTCCACTATGCAAGAAACTTATTATGGAAACATTGGATGTCGTGAACTGAAGCTACCTATGTTGCTTGTTGCCTTCAATATTCACAAAATGACATTCACTTTAGTTCACTGCTTCTGTTTAAAGACATTCCATGACTTAGTTACCAAGCAAATATCAGCCTAACCGACCACACATCATTCATTTTTAGGCATCTGATTTAGTTTATGGTTCAAAACCATTCATGGGTCACCATATATATCCTAACCATGGTCTTTTTTCTATTGCTACTTAGACCAAACGCAAATCAGTTCATCTACTTTTATAAAATAGTACATGGGCTGGGCTGGTGGTATTATAAAAATGTCTATCTCTTAGGGGAATTTTCATTCAATAACTATTTTCTTTAAAAAATAAAAGCAACCATTTAGGGCATAAGTCATTTAGTGATCTAGACACCCCATTAACTATATACTTTAATTTGGTTGAGGACATTTCAGTAAGTATACAATATTTTTTGCAATAAAATAATAAGTCATCTTTGTCCTCATTTATTATACCTCGTGATATTATTATACCTTCGTAATGGCAACTTTTCGTTTTCTTTTAAATAAATAAAATAAAAAATTCGTCTGAACATTATTACGACAAAGGATATGCCATTCTAAAATCGAAGTTATGTTAAAAAGGTTAAAATGGTAAAGTTACTCAATAGAAACTGGAACAGAACAAATATCTCTACACGTGTATACAACTTCCACCTTCCACATGTCTATCTCATCTCTCCACTTCTCTCAATTATTCTCATTCCACTTCCGTTTAAAAATACGCTTTTCTCTCATGCTTCTCTGTCAATCTTCAATCCTCATCTTCTTTTCGTTCTATAATAATAACTTTTTCGAAATTTACTTTTCTTAAAGGTAATAGTGTCGTTAGAGAAAGATGAAAGTTTTGGTTTATGATTGTCATTATTCTAACCATTGAACCGTTCTTTGCTACTTTGATTTCGAAAAAATCACGCCTTTTAAGATTGAATGTTCATGGTCTACTCGGCTTCATACATCTTTTGTCTTATTTTTAAGCTTAAAAACTAGACCTCTTTATTTATACATGTTTAAGGTCTCTATGTTTCTTCCATTTTTTGTATTTTTTAAGCTTAAAAAGCAGACCTTTTATTTATACACGTTCATAGTATCTGAGTTTCTTCTATTTATTTGTCATTTTTAAGCTTTTCAGACCTTTTATTTATACATGTTCATGGTCTTTGAGTTTCTTCCATTTATTTGTCATTTTTAAGCTTAAAAGGTGAGTCCTTTTATCTTTACATGTTCAAGATTTTTGGGTTTGTAAATTTTTTTTTTTCATTTTTAACCTTAACTCTTTGCATGATCTCTTTTATTTGATCTAATTTTTCTAGGTTTAAAAAAGACAATTATTTTATGATTATTTAGATTTATTCTTTGTATTTACACCTTAAGTCCATTAACGAAAAATATATTCATAGTTTTTTAGTTTACATATGTTTCAATAGGTTTCTTTCATTTTAAAAAGAAACCTTGACGATATGACTATTTAGGTTTATATTTTGTTTCTGAGATTCCAAGAGAAGTCAACTAGTGTGATTGCAACATCTCTTTTCTTGTCTAAGTTTCGATGAAGACAAAGTCGATTTGAAGGGCTTGAAGACTTTGACTCCTCAACAAACAACATGATCAAGACTCAAGTCTTTAGGAAATGTTTTCATTTTCCTTTTTAGAAGTCCTAAGATGATTGCTTAGTATTGAGTCTAGGTAGGATAACCCAAATGATGAACCCGCTCGTAAGATTGCCTAAAATCTGTTTTTGAGATTCATCATTCATCCTTTTTAGTAGGTTGCATCAAAAGGTAGGTTTTCTATATAAAATATCATGCATTATTTCAAAACCTACATATTTTGGAGGGTTACCTCTTATCCAAGAAAACTATAGTTTGTGTGATAATTGATCCTACAATGAAATAATCGATTGTCTGACTGCATACATCCGTTAATCGATTAAGAGTCTTTTTAATCGATTAATGAGAGTTTCAGTAACTATTGACTTAGGTTGCTTGGTAGTTTTAATCGATTATGTTCAACAGAAACTTGTTATTTTTAAATATGTTAATCAATTAAGAGGTCACTTAATCGATTAATCCTGTTGAAAACATAAAACTATAAATGACCATTTTTCTGCACTTTAGCTCACAATAACAACAATTACACTTTTTCAAACTTTCAAATTCGAATTTTCAATATTTTTTGAAGTTTCTCCTTGAGCTAAAAGTGTCAAATCTTTGAGAGAAAAACCCTTGTGAAAAGATTCTTGGCTTGTGTTCAAAGAAAAGTTTTCTTATTTGTGCATCTTTAGTGCATACCCTTTTTCAATCATCTTGATTTCTCACACCCTTGTGAGTGTGTGAATTATTCATCAGTTGGGTTGTAGCTGGCTTTTAAAAGCTCAAGACTTCTTCTTGTAGAAGTTCTTGCCTGCAAGAAGTTGTTTTCTTTGAAACATGTTGTAACGTCTCTAAGGTTTAGAGATCGAAAGTTGTAATATTGGCTGGCTACGGTTAGTCAGATATAGTTTTTGCTAAGGCATCTTTGTAGCGCGTTAAATAGCAAGATTGACAGTCGTTGTGAACGGGGGGAAATTGTCAAGTCTTGGCGAAATAGGACTCATGTAACAAGTAGGAAAAGCTCAAATTGGAAGCGTTTTGTAAAAGAACGACTCTTTCGATTATAGTGAAGCAAATCTCCCAATATTAGAAGAGGAGGCCTATATGTAGTTTGGAAGTGGACAGGCGAACGAACCAGTATAAAATTCTTGATCTTCTTTCTCTTTCCCTTAACTCTTTACATTTCAAGCAAATTTAGTTTTTTTTTCCATTTACTTTAAAATATTGCTTCTTTACTTGTCAAGATTGTGTCTTTGGTATCTTGATAGCTGCTTTGTATATGCTTGTGAAATCTTGTTAAGTATTTGCCTGATTCTTGCATTGCTTGTGTGCCAAGAAGTCTGTTTTACCAAATTCTGTTTTTGAGTTTTTTGCTTTGCTTAATCGATTAAAGCTCTGTGTTAATCGATTAACTCTGTCTGTATTAATCGATTGTTTATGTTATTAATTGATTATATTTGCTCATTTGTGATTCTCACTACTTATTTGCGAAAAGCGGACATAATGATCACGCACACCTATTCACCCCCCTCTAGGTGTTATACTCTGATTAACCGGTACCCTACAATTTCTAATCAACACTTT